ATATTTAAATATACTATTTGACCAATTTGACCAGTACAGATCCTTTGACCAGACTGGTCAAATTGGTCAAATTGGTCTGGTCCAATGGTCAAACTGGTCTGGTCAAGCCAACACTGAATATAACCTAGTTTGCATAAGTAAAAATGGACTTTTTCTTATTTAAGCAATATAAAAATTTTTTGCCGATCAGCCAATCAAATTGATCTTTAATCATGCTGATTAATCGAAATTTGCTAGTCACTCTTTTAAAAAAAATGACGGCAGCACATTACGAATGTTCTTTGCATGGTCGAATTTCTGGTAATTTAAAGTCAAGACTTTTTGATAGGCTTGTTGGAATATGTGGTACACAACCAATACCAACTTTTGAACATGAAATTGGATTTATACCTACAAGTAAGTTATTTTTGATAATAAACTGATTCGGGATCTTTATTAATTTTGTCCTTTCTCGGAAACAGCTCAAACGCCAGAAGGGCCTTCGCGTAATGATGATGTTTTATTAAGATTAAAATCGCCAATTAACGAAAAGGGTCCAGATAAACGTCAATGGTATGTACGTATTCATTTTTATTGAATTATCAATTTTTTTTTTAAAATGCCATGCGAACTACATTACGTGTCTAATTCATTTTACAGGCAATTATGTCAACTTGGTCATCCGGAAACCAACAGAAGTTATACTGTTAGACCAATCTTTTATTCAAAATTTCTTAACGGAGATGCACTTAAATTCATGAATGTTCTTGGATATAAGTGAGAGATCTTTATTAAAAAATATTATATTAGAAATTTTTTTTTACGATACTAATAATTCATAAATATCCAAAATTTAAAGGTTCGCTTTTGAATTTGCTAAAAAAGGGAATGTATTCACATATCGAGATGCATTAAAAATTTCTATTACCCAAATTTTCACTGTAAGTAATCATTTATGATTAAAAAAAAAATTCAATCATAAATTCTTATATTATTATTTTTTTTTTTGTCAAAGTTAGAAAAACTTCACGATATAACTTCTATAAAACCATTTGATAATAAAGATAATTTTATTGTTGAAATATTATCATGTTTAACCCCTAAAGATGGTGTTGAAAATGTATGTAATACACTCAAAGAATTTACTGGAATGTTGAAGGGGACTTTAGATTTACATCACGTTGAGCATTTAAGTTTACAAAATAAAATCAATTATTCTTAGATTTATGTATAGATAGCATTTATAATATTAAGAGTTTAATAAAATGTATATAGCGAGAAGTTACTATATTAGATAATATATATTCATAATTACATAATAATCCTTAATAGTGTCACCTTTTCATAGTTCTCATTTCTATGAAATCAAGTTTGGAAAAATGATTCAAATTATGTGTGTTTAAAAGGATATGTTCATTGAATAAAAGAATATAGAATTTCTATAATAAAAATTGCCATTAAATTTAATCTAAATTTTGCAACGAATCCTTTAAAAATAATAAGATATATTGCATACTTATCTACTTAACCATCTCGCCATACCGGCATAACGAAAAATGAACAACTAAATTTTATCATAAACAACTATCTATTTACGTTCCTGCAATGAAGGACTGATCGTGCTTTTAACTTAGATCCCTGCTAGAGGCTTTGTACCGTATTTATTGTGTTAATTCACTAAGAATGCTTGTAGTACATAGCAATCCTTTTTTTAGTTTCAGTTATCTTGTAGAGGGAGTCAATAGCTTCCTGGTCATAGTTCGAATTGAGAATTTGGATCATTATAATGGGTAATACATTTAACAATAAGGTTTAATCGACAATGGAGAATGGAGAACCGTGTAACTGATGAATCGATTTTTATTAAGGGTTTTACTTTTTAAAAAACTATTAGGCATTCCTACACGAATTTCGAAGGAAATTTTCATTTTTATAATTGTTTTCATTTATTGTGTGCACATCCGATATAACTATTAGACCTAACATATTGCTTTTATTCAATATATCCTGCCTAGTTAAATCACTTAATTTCTTATCTGAAAATGAAAATAGAAAAGTTTTAGTAATTTATAGCATTAAATTTAACAATTTTGATTTGTTTTTGAGTTTGACACTATTGAATAAAAACGAAATACATATTTGGGGTTTAATTATTCTAGAAAACCCGATTCCCAAACCCAAAATATGTAGTGATGTCGTAATTCAAAAAAAATTTTGGGTCGCAACCACCTAAACTACCTAACGATAACGGCGAAGAGAGAGTGTATTATGACGGAGCCAATTAGCGTAACGACCTCCACCCCTTGTCTTGCTATAGCGGTGACCTTTTCCTATGCCGCGATTCTTCTTACCGATACCGGTAAGACCACGTGCTTCACGATGTTTATGTTTAGAGGAAACAATCCAATTGATTTTCGGATCACGGCGAACTGCTTTGTGGTTAGGATCAACAAGAATTACTTCATAATATTTGTATGTGGAGTCCTATAATAAAGACAAACATTATAAGATGAAAAAAGAAAAAGATAATAACATAATATATAAATAAATAAAGTATAAGAAAACCTGATTAACCCAATACGAATTCAAAACACGTAAATTGCTACATTTACGGCCAACACGTTCTTCAGCAGTTGCTCTAAGAGAACGTTGATATTTGAGCTGATTTACACCCTGATGAACAGGTTTACCATATGTAGCACCTTTGGGCACAGGGCGTTTGCGACCTCCTCGGCGTACACGGATACGATAGACAACATATCCTTGCTTCGCCTTAATTATAAAATATAAATAAATATTAAATGATAATTAATAAAGTAAGCAATTGCATAAAATGAATTAATAAAAAACATGCCTTGTAACCCAATCTACGAGCCTTATCAGGACGAGATGGGCGAGATGCCCGATGGATAACATTCAATTGTCTACATTATTTAAATTCCATTTTTGGCACAAGTAGGAAAAACGTACCGAGTAGGATAAAGTAGGAAGGATAGACTACCTGTATTCCCAGCATCTTATACGAAGTAAGAAACGAAGGACATCAGACTGCTTCTTCTTGTAAAGTTCTTCAAGATATTTGTATGCTTTTTTTTTCAGCAAAAAAAAAAAAATTCATAGATTATGAACGAGTACTATATTTACAATAGAAATATTTCGCCGTTGAAAATGATCTGATTTTTAATACGTACCACCCATGATCTAGTCCTTTCTTTGGACTAATTATTGATGATGGACATGTATTCCAAATAACATGAGAAAAAAAAAAGCATTCATTGAAATTGTTTAATTTGCTACTAATCCTTTCATCCACAAGAAAAACTTCAGCCATCCAAACGTAAATGGTTGGCTAAATAAAAGATAAGCTACCTTAAAGATACCAAGATGAAGCAATGATGAGAAGGAAGATCATTCATTTCTCGTTTTTTATTTAATTTATAGTCATTTTGATTTTTTGATAAATCGTGTAACGTTAAAAAAAGTGACCTTCATGTGATTTACGCCCAAATTATAGCTACAGGCTTTTATTGTAAATCTTCCAATACCCGCTTCATGTTTTAACTATTCCAATAGAGAAAACCCACAATGAGATGAAATTGTTAGTGAAACAAAAATTGAACCTAAACCGAGAAAATGGAAACCATGATTCCGATAAATTTAAACCCAGAGAATTTTGGATCTTTATAAATTGAAAAGAGATAAATTAATTCTGATCTTCTATCATCTTCTGCAGTAATGCCATGTCCAATGGCCCAATAACAAAAGTTGGTCATTGGATGTTTAACCATAAATTAAATTATTAGATTCTAAATGAATTTGGATTTATTGGAGCATGGTGGACAAGTTCGAATTTGGAAAAAATTTTTTGAACTTTTTATATGCGTTAAAGTATGCTTCATTTTTGTGATTTTTCAAAGCCTACCAAATAAATACATTAAAAAAAAATAAAGTGGCAAAAAAAGCACTCAAAATCTACTTTTATTAAAAATAATCCCAAAATTAGAGAAGTTTTTTTAGAAACAAATTTTATATGAGATCGAAGATATCTTGCGATCCTGAGTCAGCGTGGGAAGTTTGTGTATGAGACTTGTCCACCATGCTATTGGCATATATAATAAATCGATTATTAAAAGATCAATTAGTGCTGTACAGTATTTTCTATACAAATACAGTAGCTCCATCAAGCAAAGCCCGGAGAAAAATTCCCCAGGTGCTATTAAAATTTTCATCAATCATGACTTCATATTTATTATACTTGAACACTCTGCTTCTACCCATGTTGTGTTTGATAAATCCACAGCAACTAAATAAAAACAATAAAGTATTAGAGGTAATAAAAAAAATAAGAAAAAAAGAATAAATTATCTGCAGGTTTTGCTTATATAAGCTTCATTCTGAATAATCACTTTTTTATTGAGAATAAAATATTTATAAAATTGATCATGAGACTAGACAAATATTTTGCAACCTATTTTAAAATTAGTTTTTTAATTAAAACAATAAGACAGCAAATCTATTAAAAAGTAATATAATAATAGCATCAAAATTTAGTTAATATTATTTCTTTTTTTAATGATTATTTGTATTAAATTTTTACAAATAAAAAACAAAACCTGTGAAAATTAAATAAAGAAGTATTATATTATAACAGTTTTATAAAGGTTAACTATAAGGCTTATCTTTTTCTTCTTTTTGAAAACTCTTTTATATATTTGGCATACAAACCAAAAGTGTTTTTATATAAAATAACTGGCAGAAGGTAGTACTTTTGTATAAAAAAATTTAAAAAACTTCTGTTAATAAATTTTTATATAGCAAACTTAAAAAGAGAGTAGCAAACAAGTTTTTTTTTACTTTTTTTCAAAGTTTTAAGAATATATGCTTCTATTTAGAAAACAGATATTTATCAGCTAATTATACCTTAGCTAATAAATATCAGTTCTCTTATCTTTCTATATTATTATTATTAGATTTAGTTTTTTTAAAAGAATTTTACTAAAAAGTGAAAATTTTAATATATCTTTTTTAAAAATTTACATTGTATACTAATACTAAATCAAAAGCAAAAATTACAAAATAATTATATATACAGTAGTTTATATATAAAACTATTATATATATAAAAAGAGAGCAATACTAATTGTTTGTTATAGTTTAGAAAAATCTTGGCAAAGATTTTATATTATTTTATATTGGTAATATATATACTATAAACTAAGTTTAAATAAAACTAAATTTAAGAGTAGTATATAATTTTTTAGATTTAATATAAGCTAATTTAGTATTATTAAAGTTTTTTAATTTTTTTTTTTGTTTTTTATTTATTTATTTATTTATTTTTATATTATTTTTTTTAATAATCTCTTTGTAAAAAAAAAAATTAAAAAAAAATAATAATTTTAATAAAATTAGCAAATATTATCTATTTCTTAATTGGTAGAGATTTGCAGGCAAATTTGTTTGCATAATTTCTATAAATATGTCTCTGATCTACTTTTTTAATTATTTAAAATATTTAAATAAAATTTAACATGATAATATTTGAAAA